AATTAGTAAAATGTTATTCACTACAAGAAAATAATGAAAGAAAAAGTCCACTGAGAAAATTTGTTACTATTGTAGCAACCCTCTCATCAGTGTCCATACAGGATTCCATATAGAATCCCATATAGGGTCGAAAATTGAAAAATAAAATTTGTGAATATCTCAAAAACGGTAAGAGATACGCAAAATCGGACAAAATTTTAAGTTCATTTTATATAAAGCAAAAATATTTTGTGTTTAAAACCTAAAATATGTCTTATATTTTTTTTAAAAAATAACTACTACATATTCCCATGTGGGATCCTATGTAAGATCTCATATAGAAATCTATATGGACACTCATGAGATTTGTATCATGAGTTTTCAATAGGATTCTCGTAAGATCTCATGCAGTATGTCATATGAGAAACCATAAGTGATCTTATATGAGAATTTACAATAGGGAAAAGACTTACTCGTGCGATTTTTACATAGAGTTATGCTATTTTTGCCACAGATGGTATTAATAACGCACATGATTTGAGTAGCTTGTGCTAGAATTTCTCAAATCCATGCTAAATCAGCAGAGGTTCTTTGCAATTTAAGCACACAAGGTACAGTTTTTATTATTTTTTAAACATTTGTATTTGTTTTAATCACAACCTCCTAATCAGCACGAAAATTTGCAGGAAGCTTGTAGTGCAATCATGTAGTAAGTTTGGTGAAAGAAACAAAATGTTCTTTCACGGCAAGATAGTTATGCGTATAATATTAAAAAAAAATTTAGAAACAATTTATATCTAAATAATTAGAAAGGGCACTCTGTTTTGGAGGTTGGATACATTTTTTATTGGAAATAGAAGAAATTCGATTGCAATATCTATTAAAAAAGTTAGATCAGTTGAAGGCGTTAGTCACATGTCTATTTGAAATTTATCTTGACAATTGGATATTGGATATTTTTAGTTTGATACGGCAGCCACTTTTATGATGGATGGTTGAAAATTAAAAATGGCGACGAGCCAGTCAAGTAACGCATTAGCGAAGTGTGTGTCAGTCGAAATTTAATATAGTATGTACAGTAAGACAAGCACAAGTGTAGTCATAGGAAATCATGTGTTACGCATAAGTTTGTCTCACTCGCACTCATGGTCTGTGACTACCATGGTACTTTTCTGACTGTATTAAAAGTGTAGGTCAAGACAATTTTTATTCCCCATGTCAAAGTAAGAAGTGAAACAACAGTGTAACCTAACTTTTGTGTCAAAGTGTATTTTTCGAATTTGTGGATGAAGTTATATCACCTAGTTAGTTCTATCCGAATTGAATTGTTATTATAGGTGATCTTGTGTCAAACATTTTTCTGTTTGAATTACGGTTGCGTAATAAATATTTCTCTTAGTGAAAATATTAACCCACAGTAAATGGAAACGTTTGGATTTATTGACATTCAAAGTAGCTACAACCAAAATAGAGGTAATATTACACTAAAAAGTGGATGGGGGTAACCACGCAAGTAGGCTGATTTATCCACCCCCACAGCACCGAAACTTTCCTGAAAATTTAGTAAATATTTACTTGCAATATTTGGAATATTTAATTGCAATGTTTATTTAAAGTTATGTAAAGATTTAAATGTACCACTTAAATAAATGTTTAGCGCTAAAGTTTCCTGAACATTTAAATGAAATTGTCGCCTAATTATAATTATACTTAAGGTGCTTATATACCTCAAATTTCGATCAGATGAACATTATTTCTGGACCGTGAAAATGCGTGAAAAGTCATTTTCACGGCGGGTATTTTTGAATTGTTTTATACAAAAAATGTTTTCTTAAGAAATATAATATTAAATAATTGTTTTAATATGTAAGAACACTTTAAAATAGTGATAGAGAGATGATTTGATTAAAAAATTTAGCAAATTTTGCTTTAAAACGTTTTCTGCTACAAGAAAGTGTAAAATGACGATGTTTGTGAAATGGTTTGTACAGTGCTTCTTCCTTGTGAGTGTCTCTCAGAGTTTTGTTTATGTTATGTCGTTTCTTTTTAACTTGTAATAAATAATGAGTGCTGAAAATAAATCGGTAAGTTGAAATGTTTATCAAATAAATTTAAATTCTACTAATTGTTTCGAATAACTGAAAGAAACATGTACACATGTACACTGTACAAACCATTTCACAAACATCGTCATTTTACACTTTCTTGTAGCAGAAACGTTTTAAAGCAAAATTTGCTAAATTTTTTAATCAAATCATCTCTCTATCACTATTTTAAAGTGTTCTTACATATTAAAACAATTATTTAATATTATATTTCTTAAGAAAACATTTTTTATATAAAACAATTCAAAAATACCCGCCGTGAAAATGACTTTTCACGCATTTTCACGGTCCAGAAATAATGTTCATCTGATCGAAATTTGAGGTATATAAGCACCTTTAGGAGAAAATTTAATTTCAATGTTCAGGAAACTTTAGCGCTAAACATTTATTTAAGTGGTACATTTAAATCTTTACATAACTTTAAATAAACATTGCAATTAAATATTCCAAATATTGCAAGTAAATATTTACTAAATTTTCAGGAAAGTTTCGGTGCTGTGGGGGCAACTTTTTATGATCTAATAAAAATAGTCGCGCCTGTCAGCCAATTTCATAGCGCTCCAGATTCTATTTAAAATAGATAGATTATACAATACTCAATACAATCTGTCCAACTATTTTTCTCCGAATGTGTAAGGCCACTGTATGGCAGAAATTTTAAGATACACTCCATTGCATAAATGATGTCCTTCCAGTTTAACGACATTTTGAAAAATCGTAACACTTCTACAATAATGTATATGATGTAACCAATGTATACACCATATGTCACGAACTAGTAAAATTATTATAGAAATTTCACGACTTTTCAAAATGTCGTAAAACCGAAAGGACAGCGTTTATTCAATTGAGTGTATATAGTTCTTCAGTTTAGTACAAATTTTTTTACTTACTTACTTTTACTTTTTTCGTATATAATCTTTAAAATTCTCAAAGCACCAGATATTTCAGGATATCCGAAAAATATACCGTGAATATCCCTAAGGCGTCCTGAGAGTATTTTTAAATTCCTTAATCGAACATTTGTCGAATCGAGGTTATTGAATATTCCTTTGTTATCCCTCGTCTCGATAGTTTTACTATCGAATTTTGAAAAAGTGACAAAAAGAATTATGTGGATATTTTTGTAAATCCTTGTGTCTGATTTTAGATATTGATGACTGCAATAAGCCTACAAAATTTCAGGACTATCCATTAAAGCGTGTTGGAATTTGTGCACATGATTTTGTGACATACACACACATACATCTGGACATTATATCAAATATATGCATTCTAGATAAAAATGAGCACGTATAACCCATTTTTAAAAAATCGAAAATCGTCACGAATACACAGCTTCCTGTGGAGGAGAGGAAGCAAAAAGTATAAAAATTGATCAGATTTGCGTTAAACTTGTTGCTAGAAGGTTTTTGACATCGCTGATTATGAATCTCATATAGAAATTCAAAATTACGAATACAACCCACACAACACCCAAAATTCCCTGAAACTTGACAGAGCCTCACACGGCGAGGTTAGGAAACTTCAGTGGCAAGGTTTATACCATAAGTATAAGTAGTATAAGGAGACCGAACGACCATGTTAAATCTGCGTTAAAAGTGGACCAAATTTTGGTAACCGCTTAGTGTCATGAAAATACGTAATGGAACACTAACGCCACTGATTGTGTTAAACTCAGCTGGACAGTCAGCCATTGTAAAAGTTTTAAAAATAAGGAGCAATGTATTTTTGGGTTATGTTCAACGTACTTCTAATTTTTCCCCCTGTTTACATATTTCCCACGAGAGCGCTTGTGTTCCATTACGTATTTTCATGACACTAAAAGCGGTTACCAAAATTTGGCCCACTTTCAATGTACGTCATTCGGTCTCCTTATACTACTCCATGGTTCATACAAGTTTGTGTCGATGTTTAAATGTCCACATGAAAAGAATATTTACACGAAACTTTGAGGAAATATTAGACTGTAAATATTCACGTGCAATGTTCAGTTAATGTTGTGTCAATATTCACCTATACTTATTATATTAGTAAATGAAATTTTTATAATTAGGCGAAAATGTAATTTCAATATTGACACAACATTGACTGAACATTGCACGTGAATATTTATGTGTAATATTCCCTCAAAGTTTCGTGTGAATATTCTTTTCATGTGGACATTTAAACATCGACACAAACTTGTATGAACCTTGCCACTGAAGTTTCCTAACCTCGCCATGTGAGGTTCAGTGAAGTTTCAGGGAATTTTGGGTGCTGTGTGGGAATATGGCTGAAGAATTTTTAATAATTAATAGAATTTACTAAAAACTCATTACTTGGGGGTTTTAGGAGTTGCTAATTAATAATTTGGTATTAAATTCGTGATAAGTTCCTACCGAATACGTACCTCAAGTAACAAATCATTTTTTTAAAAATTTCGGCCGTTTTGAATTTTGAAAATTTTCTTTCAAATTCGTAATCACAGCGACCCCGAAAACCGCTGAGTAACAAGTTTCGAACAAATCCGGTCCATTTTTTAGGCCTTCATTTGGTTACTGGGACCACTTGTCTTTAAATATTTAATACTGTAATTATTCATCTCACAAGATGAATAATTACCATACATAAAAACACAGCATCCTGAAAAACGAAGTACTTGTTAAAATATTTAACCATTTTAGAGAAGGCTTTTTCTACTGAGATGATGATTTATAATGTGATAATGGATTAGAATGAGTGATAAAGCATAAAGGAAACGTTATAACTGCTTGTTTTTATATCAAGCTTCCAACCTTCAAATTTGCTGTTCTTTCTATCTTTTTCTGTGGATATATCCTGGTATCTACATACGATACTGTAACGCGCGTGTCCAGATTCATGCGGCGACGCCGGTGGTGTTGGGGTGGAACAACCTAGGAGATATCGCTATTCGTATCGTCAGTCTATCGCGACCGGTGTTCGTAAATGCCGGCGCTTTATACGGTTTTATGAGAACACTTTTTAGATGACAGGACATTCAAGTGTTCGTGATCCTTACTTGGATGATGTTATGTCTTTAATTAGTTGCGTTATATGTAAAAGTTGATAAATTAGATTACAACCAAATGATTTATTTGGAAATATTTAAATAATTAATAATGGTTTAAAAACACCAATATTTCAGAAACTTTAAGTGCATTAGTTAGTTAATATTGCTCATTCAATAACAAAATTATGACTTTAATGGAAGATTATAAATGATCTCTGTAAATAACACAAACATGGGAAGAAAATTTTAATACATGCTTATTCACTGCCAATGCAGTACAAACCTAAAACAAGATTATACATTTCACGAACTTATCTACTACAAAACTAATTGGATAAACCATAGAAAATGTGGATAAGAATATTAATAACCTATAATACTAACAGTTAATTCAAATGATTTTATTATATTACTTTAAATAATATTATACTATTTCTCTATCTTTAAATAATCCTTAGCAGTGGTATCTTTAATTGAAATATTAAAATTCATCTTCTGCAGCATCCCATCTGTAACATTATCATATTTGAACTTTTTAAATAATATATAATTAATAGACATTTTTAATTTTCATCAACAATAGTGATGTAAAACATGCTATTATTATTTTGCCAAGAAGAATGATTAACTTGCACAACATAGAAAAATGGTAAACCAGAATTTTGTGATAGAACTGTTTCTTATGATGTTTTCAACACTTAACTTACTTGCACGTGGGTCGCGCGCGCCATGCTGCCAATAAACGATGTGATGGATTTATGGACAAGTTGATCTCATATCCTAGATAATCTAGTTTTTAGTGTTGTGTGAGGGAAGATACTAAAATAAAGTGATGTTATAATTACATAAATAATTAGGCAAGGATAATTAATAACAATAAAAGTTATTTTTAAATGACGTTTTTTAAAGTGAAGATCACATGTAAATGACATCGCCAAATAGGATTAATTTCCAAGTAACTATTCTTTATTAACTACACATCTTGATATTAAATTTTAAGATTATGTATAAATGATTAATTACAATGCACATTTGATTGAGTATGCGCGTATTCATATGTGTTTGTACGCAAGCATGGATACTAAAGTGGTCCTTCTAAAAGCATTGTTGAACTTCTTAATGACGCCATTTTGTTTTTTATCAAAGGATAACAAAATAATTTAAACCTTTTTTGTTTTAATTATCCAATTGAATGGTAGATCTGTTTTAACAATAAGTTCAAACAATAGTACAAGACAAAGATTGATAAAAATTCATTTTGAATTGTATATAAGGTTTTCGTGATCGTTAAAACCGAATCTACATCAAATTTTCAAAATTCAACATGGCAGAACTACTATGGCAACAAAGTTTTTATAAATTCAACTAATTTAATTCGAACTTGTTTATACTCAAGTGGTTTTAGGGACGCAGAATATGTATCAAATGTTAGATTTAAGAAATCCAATATGTCAGACAAGTTTTGTCCTCTGCCACAGTTTTAGATAGTCAGCAAAAAAACCACTGAGTTTACGTTTTTACGCATGATTGTTTCTGTTGTCCAAAGCAAAACCTAGTAAATCACTTTTCAGTAAGGATGAAAATCGTTTGGTGAGATCTATCGATTTTCAAACTTATGGAAAAGCAGGGTTGTCACAAAAATTTTATTTTGTTATTCCCCTGATTTTCAGTCAGAAATTAATTTTTTTCCCAATCCTAATGAAAATATTTTAAGGTTTTTAATTATAAAAAATAAAGAGTATAACTTTTAGAAGCAAAAGTATACTTTTTCTTCGAATTTTTGAAATTTTTAATTTATACATGAATTAAAAATTTCAAAAATTACAATTTTAGTAGAATTTTTAGAAATTTGACATTTTTCTAGTAGTTTTGATAAAATTACCTAACTTTTTACTGAATTTCCTGACCTTTGGTAACTCTGTATATGTTTTTACTTTGGACAGCAGATGTGCCTAATCATGTGCATGTTTTAGGAACATGTAACGTGTGTCGCAGTTCACCCATTTATTTACTAACTTGTAGAACGTGCATAAATCGAAAAATACAATTTATTTTATATTTCTTAAAAATCATCAGAATTTTAACTCTCATAACTCACGGATATTAAGGATATCCTTAAGATATCGCCATCAGTTTTCGGTAGTTCGGTTTTTCATATAGTGTCTACAGATAATCTGAGAACATCCTGCGGATATCCGAATTTTCGAAAGCACTGAGATAGTTGGCACGTACGCCAAATGAGAGTTCGATACTTTCAATTTTTAATTTAGGCAAATAAAATAAATTACGCTTATATAAGGTAATGAAAGTTTTTCACATTATTAATAAACGGAGTCGCTAATATCTTTTATTTTTTAAAAATGTGTTTCCAAGGATAAATATCGGCGGTTTACGGCTCTACTGTCGTTTGTTTCAATGACTTGTTTAAGGTCATTTTTTTATTTCCACTTTAGTCGATGACAATTTACGATTTTGTACTGAAAACTAAAAAATTAACGCAAGTCCTAGCGGTCACCTTCGACCTTGTTAACAAGGAGCCGCATGTGCCGTAACCATGACGACACTCAGAGATGGCGGCTTTCCGGTTGCATCGTCGCGCGCATAGAATAAAATTCACGCCGCTAGTTTACTCTGCGCAAATTTTAAGCTCCATTCATATTCCATGTAATGCAGGATAGGCAAAAATTAACATTATTATTACTTATAGATTATTGCTAAAATATTGCAAACCATGGGATTTTTTTTTAATTTAACGGATTTTCGATCATTGCTAAAATCTTAGAAACCATGGGAAAATTAATTTCTTAATTTTACTGATTTTTATCCATTGCTAAAATCTTGAAAACCATGGAAAATTAAATTTTTTTTATTTTGCACCATTGCAAAAATCTTATAAACCATGGGAATATAATTTTTTAATTTTACTGATTTTGGACTATTGCTAAAATCTTGGAAACAATTGGAAAATTAATTTCTTAATTTTAAGATCGTGGCATATGGTTGATATAATTATATCAGCTAAACTTGTACATTTTTTTGCACACGATTTTGTACAGGGAGTTTCAGTAGGGTTGTTCTATCTCACAATTTCTTTAAAAAAAGTGTCTCACGTTTCCTCAAACACTTTGGAGGACACAATGCTTTGGAATCATTAAATTATTAAATGTTTATGTAAAATTCATTTTAGGATTGTAAATAGCAATGCCAAACGATAATTATGAATATATTTACCTACATTTATTCGATTTCAATTGTTGTGAAAATCGTCAAAGCACTAGATATTTCAGGATATCCTCAAATATCCGGTGTTGTGAGAGAATATTGCCAACACAAATGAACAAAAAAGTTTTCAAATGCAAGATTTCAAGTAATAAACGTTTCTGTGTTTCAGGTGTAGTGCTTTGAAGAAAAATAATTAGAATTACGATGGCAGCAAAGCATAGAAAGAGTCCATGCCTCATTATAACCATTCTCCACATCGTAACATTAATGTGTCAAGGTAAAAATATATATTTATTAAGTTACTTTTTAGTCTACTTCTATAAACAATTTTAAATACTAATAGTATATATGTATCATGTGATTACGGTTTTTGGACATACAAAATTGCTTGAATTTCATATAATGAAAAAGAAAAATTTCGTTTCACATAATTTCAGTTAGACTTTTCTCTCACAGTGTACAACCTACAAAATTATTTATAACAACAGCATTTTTATTAGACAGAACTTTTGCTATCGATATTTCACTAAAATAGCAGCTGACAAAATTTTGGTTAGCCTGCAGTCCCATGACAGCGTTTTGTAACTAGAAACGCTGCCATGGGGCTGCAGCCTTAGACCCCAGTGGGCAAAAAATTATGTTTGTGCTAAAAACGTTTTAACTCCCTCGGTGTCTTTGTATTCCATAGCGTTTTTAGAACGTTTCATGACCACCAAATAATGTTCTGGAACATTTTAAGAACATGGATGTTCAAATAATGTTCTGGAACATTTTTTGGAACGAACATGTTTTTTTTGCGCACTGGGACGTAATTGTAGTTCAACAGAATTATAAGTTTTCAGAATTTATATTTACAATTATTTTCATTATTCTTAATTGTTATATGTATTACAGTTTTTTTCAAACTAAAGTTTAATTTCATATAATCTTTGTCTAACAAAAATAACATAAAATTTGTACTGTAAAACTTTTATTGGATATAACTAAACTATTGATAAAATTTGTATTGTATAATTTTAATAATACACTCTAAATCTGAATAAGTGAAAATTATCACTGATTTTAATTCAGTGGATGAGTTTTCTTTGATGAATCAGTGGAATTTAACTGATTTCCAGTAAAACTTCCTTGAGTAAAATAGTAAAAAGTAGCTACACTAATTACAATGTATTACAAAAAAAATGGAAAAAACTTTTTATCGGACCTATTGATGGTTATAGCTCTTAAAAAACACATATCAAATTGTCAAAACACCCTAAAACCTTATAAAATGTTTATTTATGGACCTATTTAAAATTTTGTTTTCCTTTTAAAACTGAAATATAGAGCTATTGAACCCACATAGGATTTCTTTAGCGATTTGTCAACATTGTTGGTTACTTTTGGCCTAAATTTTATTTTAAACATTTCTTCTCTGCTTTTAATATTAAAGAGTATTAAATTCTACCCAGTGTGCACAACCTGTAATTGTTCTAGAATGGTTATTGAAATAAAGAACTATTCTAGAACAGATCTAGAACAGTTACAGGTTGTGCTAACTGGGTAGTGTTTAACAAGCACCCCCCTACAGCACCGAAACTTTCCTAAAGATTTCCTAAAGATTTATTTGAAATGTTCCGAATATTTAATTGCGATGTTTAGTGAAAATTGTGTAAAGATTTAAATGTCCTCCTTGAATAAATGTTTAATGGGAAATTTTCCTGAACATTTAGTTTTACACTAAACATTTGTTTAATCGGAACATTTAAATATTTACACAATTTTCACTAAACATTGCATTTAAATATTCCAAACATTTTAAATGAATCTTTAGGAAAGGTTCGGTGCTGTGGGAGCCTATTTTACTAGAATTCATTACAAATTAATTAATTTATTGCAGTTTTTGTGTTTGCAGGTATAGTAGTAAATTTACGAACATGTCTGTAATATTTTTTTTTATCATAATTGTTTTAGCTTTTACTTACCAAAAGTCTTCTAACATTTTAAGATGCATAAATTTTCAGAAGGCATATTAGCGATTTAAACAGCGCCATTATCAGTCAGAGATTGAATTGGTATAATCGTGACAGCTGGTGTATCAAACACATAGTTGAAAACATTCAAATTAAATATTGCGGAACGTAATGTAGTGGATGATATGTTTTAACGGTTTATTTCTTTACGTATTTTTAGGGTTAAATTGTTCAAAAAAATATGTATGATTTTGTTTTCTTAAAACTTTCTATTTTATTTCACTAAGCAGATGTTTTGCACACTTTTACCTTGGGGTTTTTATTACCGGATATCGGTCGTCCCTACTCTCCAATTTTTTTTATTTTACTTATGTAAAATATTGAATTGTTACTATAACCTTGCAAAAGTTTTCATATTTATTGAGTCTCAGAGAACCGTGTGCAAACCAATTGTATGTTTGTCGTATTAAATAGGAAATATAATCCGGAAAAATCTTATTAGCATTCTCGGCATATTAATGAAGCGAGTGACAAACACATTTTAACAGCTGCAAATGTGGTACTCTATATTTGAGATGAGTATAAAAAGAGTTCTCTGAGGCTGTTTCCGAATTGAGATTTTTCGCTCATACTTGATAATGTGTTGTGACGTTATTTTTTGTGATTGACGTCACAATTGCACCAATCACAACTAGACTTTTGAATTTTTTGTATTTTTTGAGTTTCGATATAAATAACGATTTAACGTTTACCGTATTTGAGAATTTCCTATACTTGACACAAGTCCAGTTGAAATACTGGCGCTCCATTTTTAAGGAATTTTGCATTAATTTAGTTTAAGTTAGTTTTAGGTTGGCAGGCTTTGTCGAATTTCCGGTATGACAGGTTCCAATATTCAAGTATCGCGGACTTGATATTGGAAAAGTCACTTAAGTAGTATTAGTAATTCAAAATTCTGGGAGAAGTAAGGTAGGGAAACGTTTTTGATTGGTTTAAATTAAAGAAAATCGTTGCGTCATCTAGTGTCAATTTTAGTGTTAATTAAGAATTTAGTTTTTCAAACTCTCTCTCTTGCCATCCAACCCCCATCGAGTCAACATGTTTAAGTTTCAATAGTTTTCAATAATGATTTTTCAAGTTACAGTCGGTTGTGGTTACAGTGACATTAGGAAAGTTTAAATTAATTCTAATAAAATGTTTTTAAAGTCTAACAACAATAAATTCAGTTTAATTCAATTTATCTGTAATAACTCGTTTTTCCACCATGGGTCCAACCAGCTTCGTACAACATAACTGTAAGTCAAATTTTTATATAATTGTTTGTGAGAATTTTTATTATTCAATTAAAATTGTTATTAACATTGTTGTAAAACAATAAATAAAATTCCGTAATGGTAATTTAAATTGTTGTCAAAAATTAACTAATATCAATGATTTATTTAATAAAGTGTCATATTTCTTAAAAAAAAAAAAAAAAAAAAAAATTATTCAGTGACTGAATTCGAGTGTCTCGCCGTGATCTGGGCAATAAAAAAGTTTCGATGCTACCTTGAAGGTTACACTTTTACCCTCATCACAGATCACAGTAGTTTACGCTGGTTACATAACATGAAAAACCCGACTGGTAGACTCGCGAGATGGAGTTTAGAACTTCTTGAATATAATTTCACAATTATCCATCGAAAGGGTGCGCTCCATCATGTTCCAGATGCTCTGTCGCGTATACCTGAACATGCTATTGATCTTAGACTTAGACGCTTCCGAGAAGTGGACAACTATCCTGACAAATTTCCGAATTGGCGAATTGAGAACAATCGACTTTATTACCACAAACCAGAAAACTTTCCAGAAACAGAAGTCACGGATATAAATGCTTGGAAATTAGTGCTGTGCCGAGAATCTCGTCTACGTGTGTTACAAGAAAACCATTCAACACCACAGTCCGGACATCTTGGAGTTGACAAGACACAGCGACGAACCGCTCTCCAGTACTATTGGCCTAACATGTTTAAGGATGTAGTCTCTTTTGTTCGACACTGCGAAACGTGCCAACGAACCAAGGTGGAACAAACACGTCCTGCAGGCTTCATGGGAAAGAAAACAGTCGAAGAACCTTGGACAGTAGTAGCTACGGATATTATGGGACCACTCACACCAAGCTCCAGAGGTCACGCCTATGTCTTAGTCATTCAAGACCTCTATACCAAATGGATCGAGATACAGCCACTGAAGAAAGCTACAGGTCTAACAATATCAACAGCGTTACAGGATTTAGTTATCAATCGTTGGGGGGCTCCAAAAGTGTTACTTACAGATAATGGTACGGAATTCATTAACAATAACATGAAAGCTCAAGCGAATAAAGTAGGATTTAGACACATGACAACGCCACCTTACCGACCACAGGCAGACCCTGTTGAAAGAGTGAATCGCGTAATTTTGACAATGATGATAGCCTTTATACAAAATAGTCACCGCGAATGGGATCTACACCTCCCAGAATTGCGATTCGCCCACAATACCGCTCATCACACCTCCATTCAAAACACGCCAGCATTCCTTAATTACGGTCGCGAACCAACAGCCGCGATATCCTTGCGTCGAGAACTAGAAGCTAATATAGAAATGGTACACCAGCCAATACCTACCTGGACCGAACGTATGCGACGAATAAACGAATTAAGGAATAGTATAGTTCATGCCCTAGATAGCGCGTTCCGCAAACAATCCCAATATTACAATCGTAAAAGGAGAGATCAGCGCTACGCGACCGGAGAACTAGTGTGGAAAAAACAACGCGTATTGTCCTCCGCGGAAAGACACTATATGGCTAAACTGGCCGACGCGTATCATGGACCATTTGTCATCACAAAACGTATTTCAAACGTAGTCTATGTGTTAGAAGACCTACAGGGACAATCCTTGGGAAAATTTTCTGTGCAAGATTTAAAACCTTACTACGCTCCGATCAATGATATTTCTGGTGAAAGAAACATGTCCGTTACAGAACCTCAAAGTAAGTTACAGTAATTATGTATGTCCTTAATGTAAAGTACTTTATGTTGTCGTTTAAATGTCTCACCAAATTCCAGTTTTACAACTATAACCAGAAGCACCACAAAATCCTAGGTTGGTCAAGTGTTTACTTCAAGTTTCAATCCTAGATCAGTTACAGTCCAACCTTGCCAGAGAAATTTAAGTTACAGCATTAAACATCCGTTATAGTTTCAGTATATTTTATGATACAGTTATCAAACACCGAAATGGGTTACAGTGTACCATCCTCCAATGTTACAGTTCGTCATCCTGTGTCGTCTAGGTGATG